CCCAGGAACCTGACCTGTTCCCATACCTTCTGCAAGGGTTGTCTTGAGACTGTCCTAGAGTCTCATAGGCAGCTGTTATGTCCTACGTGCAGGGAGGAGACTTCGGTTCCTGGTGGAGACGTGGGTAGACTGCAATCAAATATTACAGTCAGATCACTTGTTGAAGATGTGGAGACCCAGGGCCATTCCAATTATAATCAAGAAGACAAATGTAAAAAACATCCGAACCAAGATGAAGACTGTTTTTGTCTTAACTGTAATATGTATGTCTGCTGCAAGTGTGCCATATCAGAGCATGTAAAGAATGCTCACACTATCCTGGAAGCAGGCGCCCATGAAAAGAATAACATAGAGGAACTTACATCTAAAGCGAATGCAAAGATACGCAACGTTGACAAGTATGTTACATTTGTTGTAGACAAGCGTAAAAGGGTGCATAACGTACATGAACAACTCAATGATGAAATAGATGATACTTTTGAGGAATCAGTTCAGAAGTTGAGGAAAATAAAGACAGTGTTGAAAAATGAAGTCGGACAAAAGCTAGGTAAACTTGAGACTTCATTGGGAGACATGGAGGAGTCAGGTCGTAAACAAATAGACGAGATTAAGAAGGTTCGGGACTTGGTTAGGAATGGTCTTCATATTCCTCTCCAGACAGAGGCTCTGACCTCACATAAAGCGAAGTGTCAAACGCTGGAAGAGCTTCTAAGCCAGATTGGGCCAGATGTGGAGCTGCCAAGGAGAACTGCTGAGGAAGGTGAAAGAGTTGGCTTCAGGAGTCTGGGATCGGATGGACTCCAAATGGGCCAGTTAAGACAAAAGGAGTCCAAATGGATTTACAGGGAAGATTCGCTGACTGTTGGAAATATGGCCGGAATGGCAATATCACCAAACAATGAGATGGCTGTAGGTTGTTACGGGGGAGGAATAGTCATGTATTCTTCTGAGTGCAACATGCAAGATATCGTTCTGAAATCTGTTCCAGTTTATGCCTTACACTTCATGCCTGATGGTGGATACGTCATACGCGACTGTAATAACAAAATTGTCTTGTACACCGAGCTTCGTGAAAAGGTTGATGTAACGTTTGAGACAATGGATGTTGCTAAAGGTGGGCTTGGTGGTCTCACTGTAGGCAAGGATGGGCTGATTTTTATAGGTAACAGTGCATGCAAGAAAATACAGGTATTTAAGCCAGAAGGTGGGAAGGCAATTAGAGAGATAAAGTGTAACGGAATTAAACCATGGCAAATGTTTGCGATGAAATCAAGTCAAACGATTGTCGTTCAGAATGGTTCGAATGGGGTACAAGTGATCAACGATGTGTCTGGTGCTATCATTCATAGCATCAGCAAGGATGGTGAATGGGCTTTCCCTGCTGTGTATCAGGATAATTCAGTTATCATTGCATGGGTTAAGCACAAGCAGAGTCTGCTGAGCATCGTTCAGTACACAAAAGAGCTCAAATACATCAAAAACATTCTCACTGACTTCGAGATAATCAAACCAAATCGAGCATGGTACTATTTGCAAGCATTCAAGACGGGAGAGATTGCTTTCTGCACTCATGATAGGCTTTACATCTTCCATGAGACATGGGAGTAAATTTCAGTTTTGCAATTGAAACTTGATGTTTCATCGAATATCGGAACTTTAAAACTCCCGGATGCAATCCTTTCAGTGCCGCCTGCTTTGTAAACAAGCCTCTACCGAAATGTAATGTAAATCAAAGAGCAGATCTAGACTCCACTCTATTATAATGCTATCATAATGTTGGCCAATTTCATTATGCTGTCGGCAGTAGACAATGTACCGTGTACTCTTATGAAGTATCAAGATGTTGCTCTCAGTATTGCAAATGGCGGTTATTTTATAGACTGATGTAGTTAGATGATCGAGGAGAAGAGGGGATAGTACACCTTCTAATCCACGGAAAGCATACGTTGCAAATATAATAAACAGTCATGCATTCCCGCTGTAATGGGGGATGAGCAGCTTCTTCCAATGATATTTGTAATAATTAAAGATTCCCTAAGTGTTCATGGTAGTGGCAACGTTAGCAAATTATTGTTTTCAAAATACAATGTATTACAAATACAAATGTATCTGAAAATGTTTGTTTTTAAAATATGCAAGATACTTGGCAATCAATTCAATTTATATGTTGGTAATGATGGAGAAGGCATAATTCTATATACATATGTTTTTTGTTCTTTGTTTCAAGAACATTTTTGATAATGTAGGACATCATTTATTTTTGTCATAGTTGTTTACTGGAAAAATGCGTAAAAATTGTGAATTGTGTAAACGTTCTGAATGGCCTTTCTTTGTACAATCCATAATTCCCGTACATTCCTCTATCTCTCTTTGCTTTATGAGCATTTATAATTCAGTCATTCATTCATTCATTCAGTCATTCAATCGGCTAGGTTTATTGAAAGAAAATTCCTTGTAAATCAGTCCAAAGACTGATCGATGCATACACATGTTTCATAGTTTTATTGTTCAAAATTATTCAAAGACTACATTACATTCACCAAAATTGACTAGGAACAAAAAAATTGGGATAAGAAATGAAGAAAAAAAAATTGTTAAACATGTTGCACCTCAAATTGATAATAAAAACACCCCCCAAAAAAAAAAGAAAAAAGAAAAAAGAAGGATTAAAAAAACATAGAAAAAAAAAAGAGAATTGACAGGCTGGGGAAAACGACAGAGAGAAGAGAGGGAGAAAGATGAGGGATCTGTTGAGAAAAGGTAAAAATTAAAGAGTGCCATTTCATTCGTTCATGTTTTACATTTGAATCCTAATACAAGCAACAGAATCTTTGAAATCTTTGGAATATTGGGTATGTATATATAGTTACGAATACATATATAAATACCTATACTATGTTCATAGGTTAACAGACTGAACATGACAGTAAAATAGAAACCAATGATTTAGCTTAAAACTATCTTGTCTTACATCGTCACACTATTCTGGCAGCAAGGAATCAACCGCTGTATAAAGGGGGAAAAGAAATATTATTTTAGTCTATAGTCCAAAGATGTGAAAATAATACAGATGTGTGTTGAATTTCATGGTCAATTTAAATTCAAATTACTCATTTAAGTATTAATTGTGTTAATGTTATATTGACATTGATATGCTTTATATTTTAATTAAGAAGTTTAATGTAAATGTACAAAGTGTTTGAACAATTATTTGTCACATTATGTATACAATGAAGTTAAAAAAACGAGATCTACTGTACTTATTAAGAACTCATTTGTATCCTTTAATTGGAAAGGAAATCAATGTATTATATACTTAGTTTCTAACGCATACTGTAGTTTATCTTATTAGTATGCATTGAAGTTAATGTCTCCTTACTAGGTTTATGATTCTTTCATAGTAGATTAATTAACTTTCATTATTATATTTGTTAAGAGTATAAATACATCCCAATGTTAGTCGCTATAAAAGCATGATTATTATTATGGAATTATGTCAGTTATCATCTTCCATTCAAATTATCTTACGAATTTCATGTTCAATTTCATCATATTTTCTTAAAGGGGATAGAAGAAATAAACTTGAAATATGAATTTGCTCACTGAAATTTCCAGAAAGCTGTTCTTTGTCCTGTGTCATTGGTGTGAGAAAAAAAAAATCCAGAAGAAGTGAAAGACCGAGAAATAAAAAGTATTGATTTTAGAGAATCCATGCAGGAGGTATATAAATACTTTTGTTGATGATATTCTTATGATATTATGGGAGCGGTTATAACGGCAAGCTTGAATGTCAGCCATCAGAAAGAAGAGGGGAGAGGGTAGGGGGATAAGTCCAAGGAGTTAGAGAGGAGGAAAGGAAGGGTGGGGGTACAGTCTCGTTTCTGACTTTTCATCAAATACTGATGGCCTTTAAACTCAATCTACTTGCCTTTTCTTCGTCATTGACAAAAGGATATTAACTTTTCCTTCTCAAAAATTCCAGGGAGTTGCTAATTTTGATATCAAACTCATATAATAAAAAGCAAAGAAGCACACTTTTGGAGCTTTGAATGAAATCGGACAAAAAAGTTATGAATTGTTGAAAGTTGTATAGTAAGGGAACTTCAAATTGGCTAAATATGTTATATCACTGTGATGTAGTGTCGGACGACTTCCTATTTGTTCCAACAAACGTTCCATCTAAAATGTTTATGTTTTTTTTTTTCACAATGTAGGACTCGGGAGTTATCTTTCTTTCTAGAGGACATATGATATTATGCTATCCATACTATATTTGAGGAGTGCCCCCAAGGGAAAAGGGACTTTCAGGTTTGGAGGAAAAAAAATCTAGAAATTAATGATATTTTATAACAAGACAAACGGAGGAGTTGTCCATGAATACGTCACAATCCACTGACCAAATAGCCAGTTTGCAAGATTCGCAAAGCTTTAGTGATCCCATTTGTCAAACAATCGCACCTGCCTTATCAGTTGTTCGTTTGATTTAACCTTTCGCCAATCTGATTCTGAACTTATTATAAAGATTGGATTACCCTTTAATACCATGTTTCAAAGCGCATAATAGTCCTGTATGGATCCTATTAACACAAATAGTTTTTTTTTTGTATTGAAATTGTCTTTTTTATTTTTTAGTCACTTCAAGGTACATTGATATATTTGACAAATGATTCACACACCAGCTAGTGAAAATGAACATTTGATTTGTGATCCCTGCAAAAGAATAATTTTGTAGAAATTTGTATCCTCTTTTTAAAAAATATATATATATACTTGTATCAATACTGTATCTTTTACTTTTGGGTAGAGACTCTACGTCTCTGATACAAAGCTACCATACGTACAGTATAGATCAGTCAGTATATTATGCAATCAAAGTGGGAAAGCCTTTGCCCCTTTCCAGCTTAGAGGACTCACAAACCCCGCCCAAGGAATGGAAGAGTCCAGGACACCATGTGAGGAGGGACTAAATGAGTGATTGTTATGACCATGTGCCATTCCGTCTTGACACTATAGCTGCATCACAACCAACCACTGTTTCTCCCCGTGTTATTTTATTTTAGGTAAGACAATTTATTCCTACCTTTTATCATATGTTAGTTTGTATACAATTATGATATTACACTTATTTAAATACAATCATTTAAATACAAGTTGTTCATATACCATGCATGTAATTCTTGATAATAGGATGCATTTTGGGAGATGGATATGTGAGAGTTGGATGAGTGCTTCACTTCAGTTGGTATTTCGGATAGAATCTACATCTGTATCAAAATCACTGTTATTACAACCCAGAGCTTGTTGGTAATCATTTAGATAATGAAGTACAGCATGTATATAGAAAGGTTTGAGTAGTTTGGATACATTAATGCTGAAAATGTACATATCGATAACCAACAATATAAGCGTAGGCAAACTTCAAGCGGATAATGATTTAGATGTGAATAGGTCCATCCTGGACCATTATAGGGTGTGTTGTGTCATCAAGTTGACATTGAATGTGAAAGTAGCTATAGTCATTTGGAGGTATATGTGAACAAACCCATAGTTATTGTGAGCATGTCAGTGTGTTAAAGATGTAAACATTTCAGATGTAAACTGGACATAGGCCTACATAAACTCCCGCGCTTGCAGAGAGAGAGAGAGAGAGATTAGATAGAGATAACGACCATGTGGTTGGACAGCGGGGAGACCAGTAATCTCCTTCTAGTAGGGTTAGTCTGATTAATCAGACCCGCTAAGTATTTATAGATTCTTTTGTACATTAGCTATTTACTTCTAATGCAATGTGTCATGCAGAAAAAAGGGGAATGTGATAGGTAATGCGCTGTTAAGACTACGGTTCAGCCATAAAGAGGCTGAGAAGTAGAATAGTCAGTGAAGAGAGTGATAACTTTGTTTTGGGAGAAGGTGTTCTTTGTTTCCCCCTGGTTATAAAATGCATGTACTGTATGGCATAGGGAGAGAATTCCTTTTACACCCTCCCTTTTGGAGAGGATCGTTATTTAATTATGCTGACTATTAACTTTTTTAGAATCAGGGTAGCCATCTTGTTTTCACTTGTGAGACTTCACCCCAAGCTTGAGACTTTGAGAGTTAACTTTAATCAGTCTGAACCATGTTTGATATTTTCCCTATAGTAATCCATTATCTAACCTGTGCTTTTAAATAGAAAAGGAAAGAAAACAGTCCGTTAATTAGACTGATGTTGCTTCACCAATTCAATTAGGTAATTATGATATGTGTTGGAATTTATTAGTAAGTTGATTTTAGATTCATAAGAAAGACTTCGTTATGAATGATTCTGTAAATACATGTAGTTATTCAGCGGTTTAGTCATTTTGATTATTATAATAGACATGAATGATGAAAGGGATTTAGAGATGAAATGTCTAATAGTTAAAAAATAAAAGTTATTACGATTACTTTTATACTACCTAGTACCTAGATAATGATTGGAGGAGGCAATGTTATCACGGGTAAAGATTATTTGCGTTGATGAATACAGTATGTACTATGTTGTTTATTATTATTGTTTCTGTGTTTATTATTATTGAATGGCCTTTTCACGTCTTGACACTATCATTGCAACCAACTGTTGTTTCTCCTCGTGTTCTTTTATGTTAGCACCTAGTCTGCAGGCACAGACCCTAATTTGACACTTAATCAAAAAATCATTGTGCCTTGAGAGAAGTCTAGTCCAGCTACCTACTGGTTGTGTCAGGAGCAGCTACAGTACATGGCCTATGGTAGTCTTATAGTGCAGACTCACTTTTACGACTGACCAGGGTTTGTGCTTGCAGACTAGTTAGCACCCTAGCTATACCACTAAAGGCCTTACATTACATGTTCACACTTCACTTTGCACAATATTTACTTAACTGTACACTTTGAAGCCCTATGTGACCTGGGTGTAGCTATATACCGAGCGACTATAGATTTTTGCATTTTTATTTGTCTAAACGCTGCCCTCTTGGGCCCTCCAGAGCCTAAAAGTTTGTTGCTGCCTTTAGTCAGTATTTGCAATACAGTTCTTTTTGCACGGGATCGCCGCCCCTGGTTGTACTTGTACCGGTAAAGGCCCCCCCCCCCCTGGGGGGGGGGGGGGGGGTTGGAGGGGAGGGGGTACTCACATATTAGGCCCCCCCCAAAAAAAAAACATGTTTAGCGTCCTGTTTTTTCGAAAAATAGGAAGGAGGAGGCCCTTTTTATTTTTTATTTTTTATTTTAAAATGGCCGCTCAAAATGGCCGCTCGGTACATTTTCCCTGACATTCGGGCTATTTTTCAAGATGGCCGCCGACATTTTTTTTTTTTTTTTTTTAAATCAGAAATAGATCCATTTTAGCAGTGTTTTTCTCCTTTGAAAAAAAAAATTCAAAAAAAAATTTCAAAAAAAAATCAAAAAATCAAAAAAATTCAAAAATTTTCAACAAAAAAAAAAAAAAAAAAATAGGGGGCGGCCCCCAAAAAGGAAGCGGGCTGGGACGCTAAACATGTATATTTTTTACATGGCCTTAGGACATATGGGGGTGTGCAGCTCTAACGGGTCACTTTTTCACAAAAAATCCCTGAACATGGGTACTACTTTTAACAAAAATACCATTACAAATTGGTCCATTTTTGCAAATACCCGAAACACACCTGAGATTAGTGCAATATCGGTATTTTTCGAGAGAAATGCACCACAATGATCCCTATTAATGGGTAGGGGTTTCGAGGCTTGAGCGGCACACCCCCGTCCAAACCAAATATAGGTAGGGGAGACTTAGGTTAGTTGAGCCGGTGGTTAGTTGAGCCACCCCCTCTAAAATAAACCATGACCATTAAAAAAATTAAATGCTGCCATGTGGTGTTTCCTTATGGTACGGGAACACATGTGCTAAATTTGACACAGGGATGCAGACTACAAACTTGTGTAAATTGTACATCAACAAAATTCTGCTGGTCGAAGTGAATTCCGTGAAAAGTGGACATGTCCTCATATTTTCTACACCTTATAGAATTAACTGACTATCATGATACAGTTGAAAGGAGTATCATTGCAGTGGCGGATCCAGGGGGGGGGGGGGCACAGGGGGCACGTGCCCCCCGGCCCAAGCAAAATATGTTAAAATCAGCCCTAAATTCACCCAAAATGTACAGAAAAAAAGGGGCGTGCCCCCCCGGCCAAAAATAATTTGTTTTTTAAAATGTATTTTATTAAAAAAAAAAAAAAAAATAAATATATGTATATATATGCCAATGGCTGACCTAAAAAGGTGACCTTACCCCCCCCCCCCCCAACGGAGCAAAATGTCAAATTTAAAAATTTCGTGACCAAAAAAAAAAAAAAAAGTGTCCTCTTTTTTTTGGGAAAAAAAAAAATATATATATGTTCTCTTTCCCACACGGTGCCCCCCCCCCTCCCCCCGTGTGCCCCCCCGGCAAGAAATTCCTGGATCCGCGCCTGCATTGTATTCCTTATTATTTGATTTGTGTCTAGTATGACTTTCACTTTTCACCACGATGACTTCAAAATGGTGGGTGTGGTGTTAGTTGAGCCGATGTGTGTGTGGTTAGTTGAGCCAGTATTTGCAAGTGTGTTTGTGTATGTGTATGTGTGCTTGTGTGAAATTGTGCGTTGTGTGTGTGTGTATGTTTGCAAGTGGGTGTATTTATTTTATTCAATTGTATGTTTTTGTTTGTATTACACTTTTGCAGGAATAAAATAAAATTACTAAAAAATATTAGAAAAGTGTCACAAACATGGATTTATGCCATTGATCTACATGCATGGCTCAACTATCCTGACATCCTGGCTCAACTAACCTGCGTGTTGGTGTTAATTGAGCCACTTTACCACTTTTTTAAAATATCCCTGGCTCTAAAATCAAAAGTGTTGTTTTCGTAATATACAGATATAATATGCCTAACAAACTGCTCGTTCAATCCCACCCCAAACAGCCTTAAAAAACATTACCCAAGGGCACCAGGTGACCTGGTAAAAAATGGCTCAACTAACCTGAGTCTCCCCTACCCCCCTAGTATTAATCATGGAAAATGTATTTTATGTTTCACATTTTTCAGTGCAATACTAGCCAGCTATTAAGTATTTACAAAATATTTAACATTTTTGATTGAGTTGGTCAATTTATTTAACTCATCGATGTTGTTTTTTGTGCAGGTCGTGTGATTACTGCTTGAGTAGGAGCAATGGCTGTAACAGTCTACACTCCATGATCAAAGCCGCTAGCGACATGTTGTGCATAAATGTTTGATGATTCAAGAACATTGCTTACCATCAGGCATCAACCCTTACGCATTTCATCAGTTGAATGATGTAAGTAAAATTTAGAGTAAAGCATCTTGAAATTAATGGTATTCTGATCAGACTTAAGTCTTTTGAGGTTGATTATAATAACATATATATCTCTATGCCTTTGTGGTAACTTAAAGGGATAGTTGAGTTCTGTTTTCAGACCGAAATTGCCTTCAAAGTGCATGGTTATTGCTCTTATTCTTATCTATGACATTTATAGTGCCCTTTTAAAACCTAAAATGGCTATGAACGTAATTTTAAACCCCCAAATATGTGAAATTTAGCCAATACGATCATACCAATTCAGCTCCACTTTTTTGTTAGCATTTTCGTGTTCGTTATATTACGCACAACCAGCCCGCCCATGTATTGTTACTTTTAATTAATAATTAATTAACGGTCACCGTATTATTTTGAAAGTGGAGCTGAATGGGTATGATCGAATTAGCTAATTTCACACATTTTGGGTCTAAAACTACTTCATAGCAATTTAAGGTTCTAAAAGGGCACTAGAAATGTCATAGATGAGAATAAGAGCAAATAACCATGCACTTTGAACTTTTGAAGGCATTTGCAATCTGAAAACAGAACTCAACTATCCCTTTAAATCTTGTCTTAAATCGTCAAACTTGGCCTGGAACACGTGTATGATTGTGTGTGTTCTAGGCCACACATTTAAAGCGCATTCTTGAGTATCTGTATGGAGTCAGGATTACTTGGACCAATCAAAGACAACTCGGCCCAGCTGCAAATTGACCGTTTTTGCAGGGTTAGAGTTAGGGTTAGGGTAAAATGACAAAAATTGACCGTTTTGGCAGCTGGGCCGAGTTGTCATTTGGTCCGAGTTAGCGCCGGGGGGGGGGGGGGGGGGGGGGCGGGGGCGGTCGATTCGCCCCCATCAGATTGCTTAAGGGGCGATTGCAAAATAAAAAATTGCCCCTGTGAAATTATAAAATAAAGATTACCTTTTCTGTTATAATTTTTACACAATATAGAGTTTCAACTTTCAAACTTTAAACCAATGAAATGGAACTATGGAAGTCTGATTAGTATGCAGGATTTCTCGCTCGAATTTTACGGTTTCTAGAGGCCGCCATATTGTAATAAAAAAGAAGCTTTCAGTGGGGTTCGAACGTCAGTAGCGGCTATACCGTGCCGGTAGTACCGGAGTGCATGCTGCCGCCCCATATCTGCTGGAGCTAGCGGCGATTGCGCAGGGACCGAAACATGGAGAAGTTTTTCGTTGTATAAAGCGTGAACCCTCTGAAATCTGGTGATTCCAAAAAGGCTTATGCCGAAAGGGTCACGGTAGCGTCGCGTTGTGTCGCGTTGACTCGAACACGACCATTCGCCCAAGCCCCCCTCCCCCCGGTTGTGCCGAAAAGGTGCGTTGGGAGTGTCGCGTCGCGTTGACTGGAATGCGACCATTCGTCCGAAGCCCAACCCCCTCCCGGTTGCGTATTTTTTTCCGTACCGCTAATGCGTCGCAGAGGTTATTTCGACGACTTGAATAAAGGCAACATCTGACACACACACTGAATCGCGCCGCACTGATCAAATTCTAGGATTAAGATTAGGTTTGATTAGTCAGGGTATGTTGGTTTAGTCTAGGTTTTTAAGGTTAAGGTTGGGGGTAGGGTTTATGAATAGGAAAGGGTTTAGCTGAAATTAGCAATCGAAAATAATTTAAACCCCTAAAACCAAAGATAACCACCTTAGATAACCATCGGCACTGTCGGGTGATGTGTTATGATCTGAAAACGTGACAAGATCAGTGCGGCGCGCTTCATTGTGTACGTGTGTGTCGGATGTTGCCTCTATTCAAGTCGTCGAAATAACCTCTGCGACGCATTAGCGGTACGGAAAAAAAAATACGCCTCCCGGTTTCGCCGAAAGGGTGCGTTGACTAGTCTTCCACATCAGTAGTTTATAGTATAATTTAAGGAATAGAAATTTAAGTCGTATAAATTCAAATAATAAAAATAGAAACAGATTACAAATTAAATAAAAGTATTTTTTAAGTAATCTTGCGGATCAGGCGTTGTAAGAATTAAATCAATAAATAACAACAAAAACAATCAAATAATTTACTTTGATATTTAAAAATGTCAAATAAAGGTGTTTAACTAGTCTTGCATATCAGCCGTTTATTTATTTAAACAAATGAATTCTATACATAAAAAGAATTGGATATTATTTTTATTTGACATTTTTGAATATGTATTGAATATGTTAATTGATATGATTCTTATTAGCACCTGATCTGCAAGACTACCAAAAAACTAGCTTTATTTTATTTTTAATCTGTTTCTATTTTGATAATTTCAATTTAAGCAACTAAAATTCTATTAAAACTGATGTGGGAGACTAGTCAACGCACCTTTCGAGAAAAGCGCACTATGTAAAAATTAGTTTTTATCTAGCTTTAACAATGACGACTCAGAACACTCAGAAAAAAGCCCAGGTGATGATGTTGATGTTGATTCACAGCATTTGTATGGCGCCATTTATCTGTTTCAAAAAACATTCAAAGGCGCGAGCTCTTCCAATAAAGTTAGCATTTAAATGTCTGAAGGAAGATGTGAGGTTTGAGTGTAGCTTTAAATATGAAGTGGTCAAGGTTATCAGTTTCGGTGATGACGCATTTGACGTCAATGCAGGCGCCTCTCCGGTGAAAAGGAGGGTGATTGAGGCATAAACATGTCTTTAAAAAGGCAAACTATGATAGTAATTGGAGGGGGGAAAAAAAATTCCGAAAAATAATATGCACTTGATAATTCCATTACGTTTCTGGCAATTTCGTCATTCCTAATGCAAGATCCTTAGTTGTAGGACAAATCGGATATGCCCGCAATGACGTCAAATGCGTCATCAAGGCCACGTGACCGTATTAACTTTTTTCGAGGGGCGTAGCCCAGCAAGCGTGAGAACTGTGAAAAATGGATGGTTATTATCATTTTTTGTCAATTTAGAGATTTTCTGAAAAATCAGAGGCTGGAATATCAATAAGTAGAGGTGTAAATCATGTTTTGAAATGCTATGTTGGGTTAGAGTGGCCCTTTAAATATATAGTGTGTTATCTATTATCTAATATCACGTATTGGCATTGCCATTGCACTTAAGTTGCACTTAAAGGACAAGTCCACTCGAAAAATTACTTACTATCAATAAAAGCAGAAAAATCAGACAAACCAATCAAAAAAAGTTTGAGCAAAATCGGATAACTAATAAGAAAGTTATGAATTTTTTAACAATGAGAATCAGAACACAAATTGCCAAGATGGTTATCAGTTTGTGACGTCATGTCCTCACTATTTATCAATTGCTCTATATGGTTTAATCCCATTAATTTCCCTTTTTATTCCCCCAAACTTGATTTCCCCATGCCCTTGCCCAGGTTATATGATTTGTATCATATTGCGTGCCGTGCATGACATTTCACAAAATCTTTTTAGGAACTTTGAAGAATTAATACTATTTTGTGAATATTGTATATCCAAATTATTGATTTTTATATAAATAGTTTATCAAAATTCACATTTTTCATGATTTAACTGAAAAAAATTACTATATATTAGTGCATCCACACAAAAACATATTACTATTAATCTAACTTGGAGCTGGTGTAAAGAAATAAGATTCTTAAGGAGAAAATAGGAAATTTATATCATCAATATAAAGAAAATAATTAGTGGATAGGGATGACATGACGTCACAGACTCATGAGTGACTTGCCAATTTGTCTAGTGATTTTCAAAGTTTTTAATGTCATTAAAAATTCATAACTTTCTCATTAGTTATCCGATTTTGCGCAGAATTATTTTGATTGGTTAGTCTGATTTTTCTGCTTCTATTGAAAGTAAGTTATTTTTGGAGTGGACTTGGGCTTTAAGTTAAGTAGGCCCTCTCTCACCTTGCAGTACACACCAATACTGATATGCTAGATGATCAACCTTTTCTGATATTTTCCACAACGTTTCTTTCACATTGCAATCACATGACCAGAACTTAACTTTATCTTTAAGGTTTGAAAGTTGAAACTCAATATTGTGTGTAAGTTTAACAAAACAGATAATATATATTTTATAATTCCACAATCGCCCCCATGAGCAATCTGACGAAGGCGATTATTTAGCTCATCACCCCCGTGTATTTTGAGCCTTAATTACTAGTTACTGTAAGTTAATTGTAACAAGATGTGCATCAAGTTGAAAGTAAACTGGTCCATCATTGATGTCAGCACTAAGCAGGCACAGTGGTAAGCATTTATAAGTGCCTCACTGAAATAACTTTATCTCATTATGATGTGTAGTTCATATTTTGGGCTGTGTTAAATCAACCCTAATAATGTAAACCACACACTTGTTATTCTTAGTGTATAATTTAGCATTCTGGTGGAGTCACTTAATAACAATGAGTGTATTATTGGTACACAATGTGCATGAAGGTTATTCCTAAGAAACACTGAATACTGTCAGACGCTATTGAGTGAATGACTGGCATCTTTTTTCTTTGGTAACAACAAACATAAAATGAGCTGTAACAGGTACATGTGCATTTGTCTACATCAATCACCCACTACTTGTGCTGGCCAAAATTAAACTGATTGAATCTTTGTGCAGCACAAAACGTACGACCACTCGGTAAAAGGGTCTGAAAATCAGACTATTACTTGGGTGATTGCAATCACTTAAGTCAATTTCACTTTCGTTTTGAGGGAAGTTCTAAATTAAACATGTATTGTCTTTCAAATGCTGTTGGAATTTAACCTTTTCATTTTTTGGGCCTGCAAATGGGACATACATGTATTACCTTTAGCTCACTTAACTGTTACATTCTTCGAAGACTGATACCCAATGTACAAATGTAATGCTGTTATACTTATTTTTCGAATGTTTTGACTTTGTCATTTACAGTTCTTACGAATAAACGTCGACAAGAAGCATAGACTGTTCAAGCCCGTACAAGAAAACATGTGCATTGTTTTTTCGTTCTTCATCTAAGTTGATACATCGAGGCAGACACAATGGCTACTTCTTTGAAGCAGGCTGTCGATAAGAACCTAGAGTGTCCTGTCTGCCTGAGCTTCTTCAAGGACCCCAAGAACCTGACCTGCTCCCATACCTTCTGCAAGGGTTGTCTTGAGACTGTCCTAGTGTCTCATCGGAAGCTGTTATGTCCTACTTGCAGGGAGGAGACTTCGCTTCCTGGTGGAGACGTGGGTAGACTGAAATCAAACATAATAGTCAGATCACTTGTTGAAGATGTGGAGACCCAGGGCCATTCCAACTGTAATCAAGAAGACAAATCATTGCCAAAAAAATGGAACAAATGTCAAAAGCATCCAACCGACGATGAAGAATGCTTTTGTCTTAACTGTAAGAAGTACGTCTGCTTCAAGTGTGGCATATTAGAGCATGCAAAGGATGCTCACACTATCCTGGAAGCAGGCGTACATGAAACTGCGCAAAATAATACCATTGAGGAACTTGCATTTAAAGCAGATGCAAAGATACGCAACGTTGACAAGTATGTTACATTCGTCGTAGACCAGCGTAAAAGGGTGCATAACGTACAGAAACAACTTAATGGTGAAATAGATGAGACTTTTGAGGAATCAGTTCAGAAGTTGAAGAGAAGAAAGACGGTGTTGAAAAATGAAGTTGGGCACGAACTAGGTAAACTTGAGACTTCATTGGGAAACATGGAGAAGTCGGGTCTTAAGCAGATAGATCAGATTAAGAAGGTTCGGGACGTGGTTAAGAATGGTCTTGATATTCCTCTCCAGACAGAGGATCTGACCTCGCATAAAGCGACGTGTCAACAGCTGAAAGAGCTTCTAAGCCAGATTGGGCCAGATGAGGAGCTGCCCAGAAGAACTGCAGAGGAAGGTGAACGAATTGGCTTCAGGAGTCACGGATCGGATGGACTAATGCAGTTGGGTCAGCTAAGACAAAAGAAGTCCAAATGGGTTCTGCGCACGGGAGACCCCCTCCCTGGTGGAAATATCACCATGACCGGAATGGCAATATCACCAAACAATGGGATGGCTGTTGGTTGTAGCAGGGGAGGAATAGTCATATATTCTTCTGAGGGCATCGTACAAGATACCGTTCTGAAATCTGTTAAGATTGTGGCATTACACTTCATGCCTGATGGTGGATACGTCATACGCGACAGGAATAATAAAATTGTCTTGTACACTAAGCTTTGTGAAAAGCTTGATGTAACGTTTGAGACATTGGATGTTGCGAAAGGTGGGCTTGGTGGTCTCACTGTAGGGAAGGATGGGCTAATCTTCGTAGGTCACAGAACAGTTGACAAAATACAGGTATTTAAGCCAGAAGGTGGGAAGGCAATTAGAGAGATAACGTGTAACGGATTTCTTCCATGGCAGATGTTTGCATTGACATCCAGTCAAGCGATTGTCGTTAAGAGTAGTTGGGATAAGGTACAAGTGATCAACGATGTGTCTGGTGCTATCATTCATAGCATTAGCAAAGTTAACGTCAACGCTAACCCTGCTGTGTATCAGGATGATTCAGTTATCATTGCATGGGTTAAGCACTATCAGGGTCTGGGTCTGCTGAGCATCGATCAGTACACAAAAGAGCTCAAATACATCAAAAACATTCTCACTGATTTCAAGATAATCAAACCTATTCGAGCTTGGTACTATTTGCAAGCATTTAAGACGGGGGAGATTGCTTTCTGCACTTCTGATAGGCTTTACATCTTCCATCAGACATGGGAGTAAATTTCAGTTTTGCAGATGAAAATGATGTGGACTGTGGAGTTTAACAAACTTACAAAACCCAAACATTTAAGATTGTTACTAGGTCAAGTGGGAAAAAATGCACCGTATAATTACTATCTTCTCTTGCGTGCCATGGTCCCCGTTGTCACAGCTCAAAGTCGTCACCAACATACACAAGTTCACCATTCACTCTGACTGCGCTACTTGATTGTTGGTAGAGTGCTTGAAGTATAATTTAGGTGTATATATTTTGACGAATATCCAAAGAAGTTCATTGCTTTCCACAGACCTCGCTGCCAGACTGAGTCGAATGCCTTTTCGTTATCGATGGAGCAGCATAGGAGACTCTGATTTCTTTCACGGCGTTTTTCCATCATTTGTCTCAGGGTGAACAATTGGTCCACGGTGGAGCGTCCTGGACAGAATCCAGTTTGTACTTCGGACAGCACTTCTTCTGTTTTCTTCACGATTCTCTGCTGGAGGATGATACTGAACTTTTTCCCTGCATGGCTAAGGAGGCTAATACCCCGGTAGTTTCCACAATTTAGTTTGTCTTTTTCTTGTAGATTGGAGTTATTATGGCCTTTCCCCAGTCAGCCGGAAAAGTTTCTTCCCGCCATATTTTATTGTACAATTTGTGGAGTATGGTGATACCTGTTGACCCAGCAGCTTTGAGTTCCTTTCCTGTGATGCTGTCAAATCCAGATGCTTTCTCTTCTGCGAGTTTCCGAACAGCGTATTCTACTTCATCTTGCAGAATGTCTTGAACTGGGTCGAGGCTGGCCATCTGAGGTATGTTAGTAGCTTCTCCATTTGTTTGTTTCTGGTTATTTACAGTTCTTCAAAGCTTACTTTCCATCTCTCTTTCATGTCTTTCATCTCGGTAAGGATTTGTCCATCTTTGCTTTTCACTACCTGTTTTCCGATGTTAGATTTCTTGGTGATTTGTTTAATTGTTGTGTAGACTGCCTTGGATAGCCTGACGTGAGGTTCCCACTTTTTTGCATAGATCTCGTATCCATTTGTTTTTTGCAGCCTTTTGTTTTCCTTCGTATTTCTCTGATAAGGTAGTTGTATCTCAGTCTTTTGTTATTCATCTAATTTACTGCTTTCAAACTGGCTTCTATCGGATTCACACCGATGAAAATACCGATTGAATTCTCCTTATGTAAACAAAGGAGAAACCGCCGTTTTCTCCCTGTCGCTTTCAAACTGCCGGTGAAATTCACTCGCGGTGGCGAGCCCTTACCGGAAGTGAAGAATTATTGCGTAATTATTAAGCCCGCGCTCCATCTAGCTAGCATGCAGCATGTTTAACAAAACGTCAACAAACACAGCTGGTTACGATAAAGCGCGCGTATACTGCGATCTTTGACCATTTTAATCGCTGTTTTAATCGCCTTTTTCTCCCGAACGCTTTCATACTGGCCATTTCATCATTGTCACACCAATAGAATGAGAATTTCTCCTGCTCTTGAGCAGGAGAATTTAATCGCCTATTTCTCTTTTTTTCATCGGCTATTTAATCGCCTTTTTCTCCTCTGTTGCTTTCATACTGGCCGTTTCATCGGATGCGTCCGGATGCATCCGATACAAATCAGGCCAGTTCGAAAAGGGTATTTTATTTAGCCTCCTTTCTCTCCTAACTTCACTCCTCTCATAGCCACCCTGGTCTGTTTGTCCCTGTTGTACGAGTCATCAGGTTAGCAGTCCCCGCCACGAGAAGGTTGACCAGGACGATAACCCGTACTCTCACAAGTTGGTCATAATATAACCCTCTCGTTTTGCTTGTTACAGCAGTTTGCTACCGGGGATGTCTCCTACTTGTATGGTCCACCAAATGTGTTACAAAATGGTAAGAGAGTAGGCCCTACAGACTTAAGGGGGGGGGGGGGATTATATTTGTACTATTAAATTGACTTAAATTAATTTTTTTTCTCAAAATTATTACAATGTATCTGAAATGTAGGCCTTAAGATATGCAAGGTACTATAGATATGTAAATTGTCCATGTTTTGTTTACTTCACGCATGTATTGGTAATGGTTTTGAAGGCATAATTCTTTTTTTCTTTTTTTCTTTGTGTATTTGTTTCAAGGACATTTTTATAATTTAGGACATCATTTAATTTTATGTATCCATAGTTGTTCACTGGAACGATGCGTATCAATTGTGAACTGAGTGAACTTTAATACTTAAGGTCCTTTCTCTGTATAATCCCTAATTCTCGTACCTGTATCTATTTTTTAATGCTTATAATACATCTATAATTCATTTATTCGTTCATTCATTTATTCATTCATTTGTTTAGGTTCATTGAAAGAAATTTCTTTGTAAATCAGTCCAAAGACTGATACATTAAAAAATGTACATAGTTGCATAGTTACAAATTTTATAAAAGAAGACAATACATTGTCCAAAGGAATACAAGGTACAAAAAATTAGAAATGAAAAAGAATTGTTAAACATGTTGCACCTTGAATGGATAATAAACATAAACAAATATGTTTCACTGATAAAGACAGAAAAAGAGAAATGAGAATTGAAAAACTAAAGAAGACGACAGAGAGAAGTGAGAGAGAGAGGAAGAGAAGGGATCTATTGAGAAAAGTTAAAATTGGAGAGTGTCATTTCATTTTTATGTCTTATATTTGAACCATAATACAAGCGATAAAATGATTACGTTTGAAATATTTGGTATGTATATATATATAGTTACGAATACATACATAAATACCTGAACTATGTTCATAAGTAAACAGACTGAACATGACAGTGAAATAGAAACCAATGATTTAGCTTGAATACATCCAGTCTAACATCGTCACACTATTCTGGAAGCAAGGAATCACCCGCTGTATAAAGGGGGAAAAGAAATATTATTTTAGTCTATAATCCAAAGATGTGAAAATAACACAGATATGTGTTGAATTTCATGATCAATTTAAACTCAAATTACCCATTTAAGTATTAATTGTGTTAACGTTACATTGATATGCTTTATGTTTGACTAAGAAGTTTAATGTAAATGTACAAAATGTTTGAACAATTATTTGTTACATGATGTATACAATGAAGTTAACAAACTTTGATATGCTTTATGTTTGACTAAGAAGGTTAGTGTAATCGTACAAAATATTTGAACAATTATTTGTTACATTATGTATACAATAATAATAATATGAATTTATAACGCGCACGTATCCGAAACTTCCGATCAAGGCGCGACAAAAATGAATAAGCAGATTACACAAAACAGTCTAACAGACAGACAATGAAGTTAATAAACTTTGATATGCTTTATGTTTGACTAAGAAGTTTTGCGTAAATGTACAAAATGTTTGAACAATTATTTGTTACATTATGTATACAATGAAGTTAACAAACTTTGATATGCTTTATGTTTGACTAAGAAGTTTAGTGTGAATATACAAAATGTTTGAACAATTATTTGTTACATTATGTATACAATGAAGTTAACAAACTTTGATATGCTTTATGTTTGACTAAGAAGTTTAGTGTGAATGTACAAAATGTTTGTACAATTATTTGTCACATTATGTATGCAATGAAGTTAACAAACTTTGATATGCTTTATGTTTGACTAAGAAGTTTAGTGTGAATATACAAAATGTTTGAACAATTATTTTTCACATTATGTATGCAATGAAGTTAACAAACTTTGATATGCTTTATGTTTGACTAAGAAGTTTAGTGTAAATGTACAAAATGTTTGTACAATTATTTGTCACCTTATACAATGAAGTTAACAAACTTTGATATGCTTTATGTTTGACTAAGAAGTTTAGTGCAAATATTCAAAATGTTTGAACAATTATGTGTCACATATAATGTATACAATAAACGAGATCTACTGTACTTATTAAGAACTCATTTGTATCCTTTAATTGGAATGGAAATCAATGTTTTATATACTTTAGTTTCTCATGCATGCTGTAGATTATCGTATTAGTATGCATTGAAGTTAATTCCCCTTACTTGGTTTGTGATTCTTTCATAGTAGATTAAGTAACTTTCTTTATTATATTTGTTAAGAGTATAGATACATCCCAATGTAATTCGCTATAAAAGCATGATTATTATTATGGAATTATGTCAGTTATCATCTTGCATCCAAATTATGTTACAAAGTTTATGTTTGATTTCATTATATTTTCTTAAAGGGGATAGAAGAAATAAACCGGAGTTATGAATTTGATCACTGAAATATCCAGAAAGTTGTTCTTTGTCCTGTGTCATTGGTGTGAGAAAAAAATCCAAAAGAAGTAAAAGACCGAGTCATCAAAAGTAATGATTTTAGAGAATCCATGCAGGAGGTATATAGAAGCTTTTGTTGATGATATTCTTATGATACTATGTGAGCGGTTATAACAGCAAGCGTGAATGTCAGCCATCAGGAAGAAGAGGGGAGAGGGTAGGGGTTAAGTCCAAGGAGTTAAAGAGGAGGAAAGGAAGGGTGAGGGTTAGTCGTATATTGTTTGTTTTAATAAAATAAAAACTCATGATTTCAATCCTGTATAATAATATTTTTTGTAAGCGCATAATAGTACTGTATGGATCCTAACAAAGAGTTACCCGAGAGACGAAGAAGAAATATGATCAGTGTTAATTGTTCAACCTGTTTTTGTTTTGTTTGCGTCACGGCACCCTTTTAAGAAGAATTTGTTTTCGCCCCTCCAATTAGAGTGGGGAAAAGGTGCATTTTTAAGTAAAAAGGGCATAAATAGTTAGTCTCTATGAGTCTCATTTCCCATAAGACTTCTATCTATAAAGCTTCTGCAAAAAGCATATGTAATGCATTTTATTTGATACATTCAATTCATTCTCTCACTCCGCTAATCCCAACATAATGCATACTGTAGGCATCACTTTGGCGCAAGTCGATTTTTGCACTCTCGCAAACAATGCCTCCTGTTCATCTAAGCGTGAACACATACCACACGAAAATGATACCAAATGATTTGGGATAAAACACTCTTTCATAAGATGTATAATAATTTACTGTTCATAGATGATTCTTAAAAGAATTAGCAATTTTCTAGGTGTAAACTTTTTTTTTACTCACACTGTAGAAGCAAATCTGTTTCCATAGTCCTAGTTTATTTATAAAACAGCGTTTTTATCATTTGATAAACAAACATAAATAAACGAACTCCTTTGTTCATAAATGCACACAAGAATTTGACTAAAATATACCACAATTACATGATAGGAAAATATCACCGCACTACAAAGTTATTTTTTCCCAGAACTAGAACAAGCATTGCTTTTATCAAAATAATGTTGAACATTTTGAGTTTTAATATTTCATAACATATTATTATACAGAATTGAAGTTATGATTAAACCACACAATCTACTCCGAACCCTTTCCTGCCCTCACCTCTTCTCTAACTTCTCGGACCCCCCCCCCCCTCCCACTCCTTTCTACTTGTAAATTTTCTTTTACAAAGAGAAATCGATCGTTTTACTCCATTATTTATAAAACCAAGATGTCAATGATAAGGTTTGTATTACGACTAGCACACCCTGTCTAGCTGTATCAGAATATTGTTATTATTACTATTAAAATTATCTTCTTTTTTGGGGGGGGGGGGGGGGGGCTCCCGCTGATAATCCGTGTACTACATTTTTTTCCTGTTCAGGACCATGATGTAAAACAGATTTTGTATTTACAATACATATCTGATCTTGTTATCCTGAATAAATATATTTCAAAAAATACTATTAAGGGGCACACTAATCAGATAAAGAGAGGGTGTTATCTGAACAATAGCTCCTCGATCATCAGATTCAGTATC